ATTACTGTTGTAGTGAACGGGAACACAAGTGGGGAGAATTAAATGCATCTGAACACAAAACTACAGAACATCTTAGTGAAATTTACGAACCATACAGTAAATACTTCATTCGTAAAATGTTAATCAATCGTCTCAGACTTTATTGTTCTTTCGTTTCTACACCAAACATTCTATATACACGTTCTCTTTTTCTTCGATCCTCTTAACCTTACTCCGCCAGGCATTTCACTTTCTATTGATGAAACGAACTACTATTTATATATGTCGATATTAGTAGCACACACCTATGGGCTATATTATAAGCAATACATAACATATACAGTGTTTATGAAAAAGACATACATAGTTTTTAAATGTATTCAGTTACAAAATTGAAATGATTAAAATATTTAGTAATAAGTAGAGTGAAATTAACAGCTATTTAGTTTTATCTTGATACAAAGCATAACTATCATATCATATTACACTAAAGCAAAAAGAAATATGTACATAACAAAAGATGAAAGATACCTACATAGTTGAATTTGGTTGTCAATCAACAATTTGTAATGAAAAAAGTAATTTTGAATTCATATACGTAAAACTGAGTATCAAATTCAAGCGTTTATTAACGTAATAACTTAAACTGATACCTTAATGATCAGTTACAATTATTAAATAATTAGCTTTCAAGTATATTGAAAGTAACCTATGTTTATTTGGTCGAAATTGCTAGACATTTATACTTGAGAATGGTTATTGACCAAAGTCAGTTGTTCCACGTTTTTAATTTGTATTCCTTCGGGTATTATCACTTCTATTTTTATAAAGTTTATATTAATCATACATGGAAAAGTAATATCGCTTACTGTTAATATTCTATTTATAGCAAAATATCTCCCTATCATCCTGAACATTTATTTATTTGAGTGTTTTCTATTTCAATTACCCATGGATACTCATAGTATACACTGATAGCTGACAAAACTCACAATGTCGTTGCATTTTAAACTTTTTAAAAAACGTTTTCTTGTATTTATTACATCACTGAGCTTTTATTTCAACGATCTTTCAAATTAGTGATTTTCTTTTATCAACTGAGTTCTATTCATTTTATTCCTATCAGCGTTTAGTCACTATGTAGTCACTTGGTTCTGGCTGTTTGAACTGTTGTCACAATCAATGTTCTAGAATATTCTTTTACACAAGGCATATATATACAATAATCAATCTATTAGATTTATTCACATCCTTGCTATTTTATACTAATGTGTCTTCAATATAACTTTCAACCAAACCCTTTCATGTGAGTAATTTGAACCCACTATGTAATTATGATTTTTAAATATAACAGGTTGTAAGCAGCTGACGAAAACCAACGAAATAAAATGAATTAATGCTATTCTGCTAGAATCTTTGTCCTTGCTCTTTTCAAAATTGTTTTACACATGGATGTTAAGGTTAACAGTTTTGTGTTGAATAAAATAGTTTATTATTGCCAATATACCAGAAAAACTTACAAATTAAACAAGGAAATATTCCTTCGTGGTTGAACTTTATAATAGATCTACAATCATCATCACGACTAAACAAGTGAATATTAAATAAACTTTAATTAAATAATTATCAGAATGAGGGTTTATGGAGATTGTAGTAATTTTATTAGTTGAATTCATGAGTTGATCTAAGCTAGTGACTGGCTCCAAGATGATTTCCTGAAGTTATAACGAGAAACTGTAACCAGTGCAGTCCAATCCTTGTTTGAATAGAGATGGGTATCCACCTCATACGATAGATAAATGTTTGCGCAGTCATTCATTGATCGATGGTAGTTAAATATTAACACCATCAAATATCGGCTCAGTGGCTTAGATGTCAAGCATTCACGCGGGAAACCAAAGGTCCTGAGTTCGAATCGCGTGTGTGGGATCGTGGATGTGCACTGCTGAGCAGTTCAACAATCGAACGAAACGGCCGTCCACTGCTTCCAGGTTTTCAATGGTGGTTTAACATCAATAATTATGAAATAACTTGAAGGTACTTTGTATATTGTCTTGAAAATCAAGTAAACATCAGAGATAAAACTTAAAATCAAGATTCTCTTTTCTATTCATTCAATATAAATTAGGTTTAAATTCGAAATATTGTGATACATTTATTAAATAAAGATATACTTTTTCCTATTTTTGGATTATACTTCTTTCAATGAATGCTATCATCAATGGAAAAGTAAATGTACAATGTTTTAAAAGTGCAATTCAGAGAATAAAAATCAAATACTTTAATCATTAAACTACCACTACTTACGTCAGTATACAATACAATAATTTTGTCCTTTGGTTGATGAATACCATTTCTTTTGTTCTATTATTAATAAACCAATTATTCAAGTGAATGTAAATAGTCTCTTGTTCTTTTCATTTGTTGATTAGTTAAAAAGAATTAGTCTTTTCGTGATTTCCCCTTTCTATACTATCTTTATTAATACTACTATCATCACTATGTTTTATTCTATTCCATTTTCTTCATTTTCTTTTCTAACTCTCTAAATTTATTCAGTATATTTATAGATGAATAATTTTCAATTATCTCGGGAAAAAGTGTTTTTTTCTTGTTCTTAACATTCTTCAGCTATTTTGATTAAAGATACCCTGAGAATGTAACTGGTATCAACATCGGCAAATAAAAACTTACTCTATTTTCTTGAAGTATATATATATATATATATATATATATATATATATATATATATATATATATATATATATATATATATATATATATATGGTGGTTGGTTGATTGGTTATGTTGTTCAATAAATGAAAAGTTGTTAAGTGGTATAGTGATCGTAGAGCATTTTTAATCTTATTCGTTTCTATAAAAATACACTGTACTATTTGCTTTTTTTCAAAGTGTTAGTTGTCTCTTAACCTAGGTTTTGTTGCATTTAGTTGTGTATGTTTTCAGTTATTGAGGCTTTTCAACTCCCCAGAGAATTGTAATGAATATTTCGTACGATATATATATAAATCAATATGTCTGCAATCAGTTGAAATAATACCCGAGTGTTATAAATGGTCATATGTAATCATCTGTGTCTACAATATAAATGATAAGAAAATAACCATACAATTGACATAGGGATTTCGATTAACAGTTATCTATGAAATGTTTTAAGAAATTGTAGATTCTGTCAACGTTATACGACAATGAACTATAATTATTAAGTCATTGTCGCCATAAATGAAAATGAAAGAAAAATTTATTTTTCTTATCTGCTTAAACGTTCTCTTCCTTTTATGGGAGGGGGGGTGATTGTCAATAATATAAACATAAATGCTGAATATTTGTCGTAACTTAACAATAACTTAACGATGAAATTGTCCAACGGATTAAAACCGAATAAGGTTTATTTCAAATTTAATCTTTTACGTAAATATGACAAGTAGTGGATAAATTTCATACAATAGGCGAATTTATCCAATAAATAAATAAATAAACTAAAGTAAACTATCATATATGTTGAAAGTAGAAAATGATTATCTTGAAGGAATTCATTTTTATTATTCACATATTAATATAACTTTTCTAAATTTAATCATGGCGAGACTATAATTTATGGATGAATCAATCAGGCATAAAATAATAGGTCTTTGATTTTGACGCGAAAATCATTTATACATTTGTCTAAATAAAGTTCATGATGAAAATCCTAAATCTAGTTCCTAACCTTAATCACCAACTAAAAATTATAATTCTAATTCCTCACACTGGTTTATAATCCTTATTTGGTTATGGTTACTAGATGAACACTTTCATGGTCACTTCAGCGTTACCCAAAAGTCATCCATAAATTATAGTCTCATCTCAGTCATTTGAACACTCAAATATTTTTATAGTTTATTCAAAATTTCAATACATTTTAGCACCACAATCTCTGCTTCTATGATGAATTCATAATCGTCAACATTTATTTTAGAAAAAATGACTGATATATCTGGATATAAACATGTAATCAATATATAAGCAATGATGAATAGTGGCTAGCAGTAAAATCCAGTTTGATGCCCATTTCGTCTTATTTGGAACTCATCAGCCGAAACAAAACTGAAAAAAGAAAATTTCTCAAACTGAATAACTATCAATAATGTAAACATCCACTAGTATATTTTAAAAAATAATTAATATTACAAATGGACTTTTCTACTTCACAGTATTTTCATCTTTATAATACCTGTCCAAAATAATTATTATCAATGAATGCAATTAAGCATTACCATTTAATAGTTTATAGAATAATATGGATTGCTTAGCTAATGATGTATTCAACATTTATTTGTTTACTGGTGGTTTATCGCTAAATAAATAATGAATAGTTTATAAAATGGATACTTCTCATTTAAAGTAACCATAATTAATTAATTAAGATCTTTAACATGAAGCATAAAATTTACTAAGGAAAATCATATAAATATTAGTTTATTAAAATGAACATTTAGAAAACAGAAAAGTACACTAGAAATGTCAAATATAATCCTATAAGTCAATATTACTGTTGACTATTAAAAAGTAGTACACTATATATATATATATATAGTTCAACTGTCGCCAGTGTATTAGTAGTAGAATATATTTTCACTATGGTAATTCTAAGTTTACAAGGCAACGAGAAAATAACAAATAAATATTTTGAGACAATTCATATATTTATAGATTTATTTACAAATTCAATTTTGTTTCAGTTTCCTACCAATTTGTTTCATAATTATGTTCCTTGATATCATTCTATTAGTAAACCGAAAAAAGAAAAGAAAGAAGAAAAACACAACAAAAACAAAACAACAACTGATAAGAAGATTTATTCAAATAAATGCATAAAATCATCAATATAACATTTATTGGTATCCGGTATAAGATTGAAATTTGTTTCTTCATAATTCTATAAACTAAAAAAAAATGTATTGAATCTGATGATAATTCGTATTTGAAAGGAAGAAAGAAAGAAAGAAAGAGAACAAAATCTATACACAAGAATAATACAATATGGTATAGAAAATGTAAAAATACATGAAATAAGTATAAATATGTAAAGGTAATAATCTTGTCTCTAAAGATTTGCCAGTATTATCATTGAATGTATCATACAATTCTTTTGGTTCAGTTTTAATATCTAAAAATTATTTTTTTAAAAAACATGATAAAAATGCGTAAATGTTAATTGAAAAAAATTAAAATTTTATATATTTACAATTGGTTAATCATTGAGTAATGATCAATGTCCATATGTGTCAGTTCATTCTTAGTTCAGATTGAATTCTATCGACCAAGTTGTAATGTGACCACTAGTCTATGTGACTTGACATTATATGCACTGTGTTGAAATATGATGATGATTGGAGGTAATTTACAGGAAACCGTGAACCTAGGTTTCATGCTACGTGGCATTTGTCAGTAAAGTGTACCTGTATTATTCTTGAGGGAATTGATGCTCTATGACGGATTTGATCCCATGTCACCTTGCTAAACAGTCAGAGACGTTACCACTGGGTGGTGATCAATCCCACATCAGTCGCGATCCGGATAGCGCAGTGGTAATGTCTTTGACTGTAAATCTGGATGACACGGGATTAAATCCATCAGGGAGCAACAGTCCCCTTAATATTGCAGCTACACCTTGCTGATGAATGCCAAATAGCATAACACCTAGATCCAGGGTTTCCTGTCGACTATTTCCAATAACCACCTTATCTGTCCTATAAATCAATGATAGGAATTGTTGTTATTTACCAGCGAGCTATAAAATTTTCATTACACCTAAATAGTTTATATGTATGATTGTTGTTCTCGATCTTCTGTGGTTCTCAATGTTAAACTTTTAAAAGCAGCAGTATATATCGATTTTAGTACTTGTTGACTTCGAAAGCAAGTGATACCTGAAGTCCGATTGATATAAATAAATCCATATATAAGTTCTTGATACTACTCAGTGGTTCAGTTCTGTTAAAAACAATTAAGATGTATGCTTTATTTATTATTAGTTAGTTATGTATGGTTATTCTCAGTTGAAAGATTTTAAATGAAATAATTTGTTTAATCTTACCTTATTTTCAATGATACCACATCGGATAGTTTTTTTAGTCTTGAAAAACACTAAGATTGTTAAATATTTAATTAATAATGGATAGAAAAGAATCTTCATATAAATACTTTCAGCTTAAAATTTTGGGACAAATGTAAAACATAAAATAACTAAGCATAATAGACTATATAACAAGAAATTTCTTACTTGTTTTCTGTAAATCCAATGAACTCTCTTCTAATGATTCTAAGTTAGTCCCAGGAACTTTACGACAAGTCCAAATGCCTGAATTATTTTTTGTTAATCGTCCAATTTTCAATCTACTCATTTGTGTTGTTCGATTAATCCATTTGGTTTGTATATCTACGTATAATTCGTTTATTTTTAAATAATTGTCTAAATTTAAACGTTTTTTATATTAACCTACTTTATAATTTCGGATATATTCTATTTCCATTATAATACCAATGAATAGATGATGTTGTAGTTGGATGTTGAAATTGAACAAGACATGTTAAATAATGGTTTTGACCAGGATTATTAAAGATATGAACACCTAGATACCATTAGCAATGAAAAACAACAACATAATAATAATAATGAAAGAAAAAGTATGCAAAAGTAGACTTATTGGATTTTCCTACTTTTTCTCTTTGCAAGCCGTAATTCAAACGCACTGAAATATGTCTTACCATTTCTTGAAATAATAATGATATCCTTAACCTTGGTATAAATAAAATGCTAAATGTTATGTTCAACCAAACGTTTTTAAGGCATTTACCTAAAAATCTGCTAAATTGTGAGATTTGAATACTTGATTTCTCTGGAATGCAATAACCTTGTAAACAATATGAAACATATTGTCGATATTTTAAAAAGAATCCATTTCATAGGTTCATGGTAATCATTCTTTCTGAATATTTTGAAAATCAGTTAAATAATTACAGCAATTTTAAGATTCATCAGCTGCTTACGACCTAAAATATTTGATAATCAACATGATTAACAAACAATCAAACTTCAACCTTTTGATATTTGCAGAACCAATAGCAATTAAACATATAAAACCAGATCTCTGTATACAAAAATATACAGTAATAAATATTTCTTTGCCCTGGTAACATTACCCCTCTTTTTAATTTTTGTTTATTGCGTTATTCATTATTTCAACTCTTTCTGAAGTTTAAATTACATAATTGTCATTTTTCATTATTTCATAACTGACTGATCTCAGTTCACATCTCTCTTTATAGCCACTGATCTATTTCCAGTTGATGAATTACACATTCTAATGTTTGTTAACTTCATGAGATCTAATCACTATTCCAATGTTCTGTAAGTTTCTCTGACAAACTTTATTTATAGTAAACAAAATTTTATGACTTTATTAACTCTATTGAAGTCTTCGTTACATCATGATACACATATATTCATCTTTCATCACCCTCGTATGTATCAGTATGCCAATATCTGTAATAACGTTGGTTTTCAAATATTTTACGTTGTAAGAAACTGATGAGAACTTAATGAAATATAATGAATTCATACTGTTCTGCACCAATTTTTGTTCTTGCTCTCATTAAGATATATATGTAATTAAAAAAGTAACTTTTTCTGTCAGATTCGTTGATTACTAACAAGGTTTGAATAGGTTTAGCTTTATTGTAAATATAGTATTTTTTAATGCTTATTGAAACTATATTTTTAACAGCTAAAACATGACTTGTTCCGATCATCTTAAACATAGTTTCTTATAACATTGAAATAATACCAGATTTTCTTTTGAAACCATAGATCAAAACGATAAGTTATTTATGATTCTTGTCCTTTTATTTTTTTTAAAACGATAGCAGCTATGCTACAAACAATTTAATTAATGGTAAATTTTCGTTGACCTCTTTTATTATTCACTTACTTAACAGACAATGTTATTGGAACAGTAACAATTTGCATATTTCTTTGTACCATTATGATCACTAGATCACATGACAGGCTGTAGATAAAATGGTGATTACTTAAATATCGCTCGATGATTCATTCTCCTCCCCATGTATATATGTACTCGAATCTTATTATTAACTTTTGCTTTGGTTTGCTTTGCTACGCCCTTATGCGATTTGACTATAAATTTGTCTATGTAATCACTCGCATATACACATTCACCTCTGCTTCAAATTCGTTTGATATGCTTATAATTTTGTGTTATTCGTTATCCTGTAATAAATTGTAGATGCCTCTTCATATTGTCTTCTAATTTCAAATGCCGTTGAAATTTACATAATAACGATTACAAGGGTGATTGACTAATCAAAGTAAAACCACTATAAAACTTCCAATGAATAAAGCCTATCGTATTTTGGCAACAACAAAACAAAAAACCTGATCAAAACAATTACAACAATTTGTTTACCTACCGATTATGCAAGTAAATTTATAAATTAGATTAGCTTAATGATGATTAATAACGTTATAATAATACAAATTATATGACTGATTTTTTAGTGTACTTAATAAAATAAATAAAATAACTTTGGTAATAATTTAAGTAATATAGAAATAAAGAAGAAAAAACTGGTAAATAATATAAAGTATTCATTATTGTATAAAATAAGCATTTAAAGTATAAAGTCTGTGTACAGTATTGTTTTGTTTTAATGTTTCAATTTAATTTTAAATTAATTTTATTTACAGAAGGGGTTTTATGGAGATTTTAGTAATTTCAATAGTTGAATTCATGAGCCAATTGAAGTTAGACCATCATGGAAGACCTGGAAGCATTGGACGGCCGTATTTTACTAGTACGGGATTCCTCAGAAGTGCATATCCACCCCCACACCCACGAGTTTTGAACCCAGGACCTATTAGTTTAGCGCGTTTAACCAAACTAGGACGAAACGGCCATCCACTGCTTCTAAGTTTTCCATGGTGGTTTAGCTTCAATTGACTAGTGATTTCAACTAATTTTATTCATTTGAATTATAAGTTAATGGATGGATTATGTATGATAATGTTATCTTTCATAAATTTAATTAGATAGTAATATAAAATTTGATATAAAGAAAATACTTAAATCCTCGAAAAAAATTTCAGAATAGTTACAGTCTAGTGGAGTGTAACTAAGTAATAGATAAAATAAAATTGATATGTTAATAATGGGTATGCAAGAATATTCAGATCCGAATACAAAATAAATAGTTATGAGTATAGGAATGTGAAGATTGTTGAGTTTTCAATAGAATCATGTTGTACCACTATTGACAACCTGCAAGTACCAAAAAGCTGTTTTGTTCGCTTATGGGGTTTTTTAATAATGCGTATCCATGATCCTTTAGGTGAGATTCGAACGGTGTTAATATACTTCTAAGTTTTCAACAGTGAGCTAATATTGATCAATTCATGATCTCAAACAAATAGATAGTTATTAAACAATACTTGTCAATTTCCTCTTTAATGAAAATTTTATTTCTGTCTAAGAATAAACTAAACAAACTTTTTTATTTACATAAATGTGTCCATAATTTCAATCAAGAATAACAATCTTATATAAATCATATCAATATGGATTTAGTTAACAATATCAAAATGATAAAAATCACCTCTCTCTTTATTTACCTGAATTCTGGACAAATCATAATAAATTTACTTAATCATTCATCAAATTATCATTATTATTATCATTATTCTCTTCTACTAATATAATACTGAATGTTTATCTTGTTATTCAATAAATCATTCAGATGATATTAGAGAATAATTTGAAGTGTATTCTTGAATGAAATTAATATTGTCTTACAAATTTATCTTTATAGTATCTTATTGTCAACCCAATATAAGAGTTTTAATATATGTATACCTCTATCAATGCTACTTATATAATCATTTAAATACTATATTATCTTATAACTTCATAAATTATAATTTCATTATAATATTATTAGTAGTTTATAATTGCAAAATGTAAACTAAACAATTTTAACTATTGTCTTTATTCACGTTATATTGCAAATTTAATAATAATAATATTTATATATAACCCTATTCAATAGTCCTTTCTGAAGTGTTCTAAAGTTGTTATTATTATTATTTTAAATTACTACTACCAATACTACTTAATTTCTTTTAGTTAAAATAGTTAAATGTTATTTTTTCTATAATTGACACAAGTAAATACCAATCTGTGATAATAATGTAAAGAAGTACATAATTTGTAGTCCCATAATTGTTGTCCAATGATTTATACGTCCATTATTGGAGTAACTAGTAGTTTGATATAATGAATGACACCTTGCATTTTCAAAAATGAATACAAAATTCATTGGGTTTGAGTTCTGGTGATTATTTTTTTCCAATCATTTATCTTTATACTAAAAGTTTATAAATTCATTTGATGTTAATTTACTGGTATCTTTTTATTGTTATTTTGGAATGCAATTGATTAGTCACTTGTTGGTATATGTGCATCCTATGCGGTTTGTCTCGATGATAGCTTTACCTCTGGTATGCAGGTATATCCAGCTGACGAGTCCCAGGTAAGATGAAACGCGTGTCACACTGGATTCCACTACTAGACACTATCTATCTCTGCTTCAAACTTCTGTTACTCAGGGCTACATCGAGGCAATCCGCACAAGATGCATATATGCCAACAAAAAACGGAACAACTGCAGTCCTAAATAACAGTAAAAAGATACAAGTAAAATAACACCAAGTGAACTTAAACTTTACCACATTGCACAGGCAGGTTGCTATCAGGATTCATTAGCTAAATGGATAACGTGATGGTGTTTGAAGTGAACAGTACTGGATTCAAGTTCTGGAGTGAACATCAATGCAGGTATTTCTAGCTGACAAGCCCCAAACAAGACGAAACACTCATCAAGCTGGATCCCACTGCTAGCCGCTATCCACCTTTACTAAAGGTTATTTCCTAGGTAATGTAGCTTTCAAATTTTACTGGTATTATTTGTGAAGGCTTTATGTTTACTATTATTGAAACACCATTTTTAAATAGAAAACATACTAAAGTTAAGTGATTTTCTATTTATACCTGATAATGATTCCAAATTAGAAGTAAAAAAGTGCAATAACATTTTTTAAAATCTTATATTTACCTCCCTAGGTAAACATGAATTGTATCAATGTTACGGTGTTGCATGAATCTTAAATCTTAATGAAAATCTGTGACATAATCTGATTTCTAATACATCTCACGTTTACCTCATTTAATTCACTGTGTAATTTATATTGAAACAAGCATGGTATATCAATAAAAATAAACGTGAATAACAAGAACATTTTTTTATAAATTCTGTCGTTACTAAACTCTACATTTAAAACTTTTTAAACAATCACTATTGAAATAAAGCAAGATGGACGTGGTTTGCATAACAGTATGTATTTTATATAATTCAAGGCTTCTCATCAGCTAAGAATGGCCTGAACCTTCAATGATCACATTTTCATAACATCATGAGCTGATCAATGATAGACAATCATTGAAAACTCTGAAGCATAGGACGGCCGTTAAGTCCCAGTATGAGACTTCCCAGCAGTGCATATCCACAATCTTGTGCCTGATCGCTTAACCTCTAGATAAAAAAAAACTGATATTCAAAAGAGTCAAGGTCTAACTTAAGTCATTCCTTCCGTTGTTTCCACGTTTTAAATGGAGATCTAACTTAGATTGGTATATGATTTTAATGGAATTTAACAATCTTAATAACCCCATTCTGAAAATACTAACATTAAATCATCATAAAAAACAAGAAAAGGGAACAATATATTTACCCTAACAGATGAAATTGACTAGTTGTTATATCAGAAGGAGTTTTTGTGAACACTATAGTTAAGATCATGAGACAATTGATTCTATATCACTATTGAAAGCCTGGAATCACTGGATATTATTCACTGATATTAATGGACATATACTCACTGGTAACAGGCTCGAATAGGTATTTCCTGGAGTTCTAATGAGAAACCGTGACCAGTGGAGTTCAACCGGGTCTGTTGTGAAATAGTAAGTTGCTGAAGGCAATGCTGGACGGTGGCTCAATTTGGTGGACTGGTTAAAATTACACATTAACATCATTGGATATCGACTCAATGAAACCGACAGGTCCTGGTCTCGCAGGGGGTGATCATGGATGCGCACTCCTGTAGAGTCCCGTACTATGACGAAACGGCCGTCCATTACTTCCAGGTTTCCCATGGTGATCTAGCTTCAATTGACTCATGATCTCAACTACTGAAATTTATATTTATATGTTGAAGATAAAGTCATATAAAGAATATTTACTTTGTATTTATAACAAAACTATAGTCTGTTCATAGTTTATTTGAAAAAAAATATCCAAAAGGTAACTTTTAAAACTTCCTTAACTATTTTTGTATTTATCATGCCAAGTGTTAAGTAGACATATTATAATGCAGTATTAGAAAACAATTGGTATTTGAACATTTATTCAACATTCAACAATGTGATAAGAAAAAAAATAGAACAATCAAAAGTTGAAAAAAATAAATCATCTTCTTACTTTTTTGTTTACTTGATGCTCTTCATAATGTATTTTGTACTATTTCATCTTTGACATATTCATCATTTAAGTTTGTCATATCCGGTTCATTTTTCTGAGCTAAATTTAATTGTTTGTTTGTTTTTGGTTAAAGATTCGTATATAGACAATTGAACCGGTCAGTTTGATTTTTAGATTTTATAGGTGAACAGAAATAAATCCGATTAGCATTTGATGCATAAAGTACAAAAAAAATGATAAACAGAATAAATATGTAAACTAGGAAAATTTTTTTAATAAATTTCTGATTAGAACAAGTTTAACGTTGTTTCCAATGCGAGTATTTTTTCTCAAAAGTAACAAAATGTAGTCAAATCAAATCGTCTGTTGGATAAATTTAAATATTTGCAAGTTACCAACTTATCTGATTCTTCATTCTTCTTCTTCAGAAAGTCAGAACATAGTTTAAACATTTACGTTTTTGATTAAGATCCTGAACTAATTGATGTTAGACCACCATTGAAAAGCTGGAAGCACTGAACAGCTATTTCGTCTTAGTCTGGGATTCCTCGAAAGTCCTAATCCACGTTCCCACACACAAGTTTCGAACACATAAACTTCAGTTTCACGTGCGAATACATAACCTCTAAACCACTGAGCCAGCATCCAATAGTGTTAATGTCTAACTCCATTCAACCCACAATATTGCGCGATCATCTTCCATTGTACTGAGGTAGATACCTATTTCTACCTGATATGGATGAACTTCACTGGTCTCAGCTTCTCACTAGAACTCCGAGAATTCCCTCACACAGCTAATCACTAGTGAGCACACTTCCGAGAAGTTCCATAATAGAATTAAACGGCCTACCAGTTCTTTCAATTTTTCAGTGGTGGTCAGACATCAAATGGTTCATGTTCTCGATCAAAAACATAATAATCTGTACAACCCCATACTGATAAATAACCATTTAAGTTAGTCAGAAAGTAAAAAAGTATGTATACATTAAAGGAAATGATTAAAACTAGTTAGCAAACGAAGATTGATCTTTGTACATTTATTAAGATATTTGTAAAAAAATAATGTAAAATTATTAGATGCTACTTTGAATTCATACTTATTTCTTAATTTCCACATGATCCAGCACTTTTTTCATTAAAACACGAGTGAAAAAGGCTAGTGATATATAATCAGTTAACGTAATAAACAACACAAAAGTAACAGCAAATCTACTGCTCAACTTTAAAAAAAAAATTCTTCAGAAATAAATAAATTTGACAAATCTAACAGTTTTCTCAATACGTTATTTTATCTTAGAGTTGTGTCTAACTTTATGTAACAGTAAACCTTCATAGTCTATGCTTTCATAGGATAGTAACATTAAATATTAATAGTTATTGACGGTACTCAACAGTCTTATTCAGCAATCATTTTTTGAGACGTATTAGCTTATTTCACTTCATTTTTATGTTAATTTGATTGTGAATAATCAGTAGTTATAGAACATAGAAAGCTTTCTGCCGTGTTTACGATTGACCAGCTGAAAGTAACAACATTTATGAGTTGTTAGTTGAGTCAGCAGCATAGCACATAACTCAAAAGTAATCAGTGCTAACGATATTAGTTTTAGTCTATGTTAATATAACTACGTATTTCAAAGATTCAATCGATGAGCTCACAACTAAACTAGACGTGTATTATGTACAATGATACTAGTAACGTCACATAGCATTCAGAATTCAATATATGTTTACCACGATATTATTAGTTTCTGTTAAGTTGTCTTATAATGATAACTGTCTCCATTTATAATATTAAAAAAACGCTTTAATTTCAAAGGTTTTGGTTATTCTATTTTTAAAGAAAAATTTTGTTATAGCTTCATTTACGTTTCCTGAAAATAACATCAATCTTATCTTGATTATCATAAGGATGTGAGTACGTAAGATATTTGTCTTTTGTTTACACTCTCTATGAGTACAAAGTAAAGTAATATACCATGTGACTACGTATATTTTATGCCTACAGTAGCTAATTTAGTAACTAATTTAGCAACCAATAATATTAAACGTAATACTATGGTAAAATAAATTTTTCAAAACAAAAGTAATTGATAGACATGATAACATACCAATAACTTTGAGGTAGAAAAATTTCTCTTTTATGGTGGCTAGATTAATTTGACAAATATATGTTCCACTGTCAGTTTCAGTAACATGAAAGATCATCAGTGTCCAAGATCCAGGATCGGTACGGTCAATTTCATAACGAGGAAGTGATATTTCATTACCTACTGTAAGTGGTGTCGGCAAATCCTCTTTCCACCATGACATCTAGAAAAATATTAACATTTTAATTAAATATCAGTTAGTGGTTAGTGGAGATAAACAATAAAAAAGAGTTTAAAAATATGACATTTACATTTAGCAATTATGAGTGGTATATGCAAAATTTCATATTGAACTAGTTTAAACGAAATCATATTTTATTTTACTTATGCTGCAACTCAATATTTCTATGCCGGAAATCCATAGTTATCCATACAAAAAACATATAACCAACCTGAATGAATAGAAAGGTTAAGTACTAATCTGTTTCTAGTATGTACAATATTTAACATCAAAAGAAATTTAAAGACAAATGAATAGAAGTCCTTTTCTTACAGTTGCTCAAGATGTCGCTTTTCAGTAGAGTTTATCTAAACTCTTGTAAATAATGATATCAATATGACCCTCAATCACAGACATAGACATTACTGTCTGAGTATTTTGGTTATGGCTGACCTCTCTAAAGCTGACATAATCATGTACATTAAGCAACTAGCAGAGTAGTAGACTAAATTTGGTCATCACTAATGACTTTGAAAACAGGATTTATTGGTCAGTTAGTGCAAAAGATTTGTAAAAATTCCCATTTTGCCATTTGATAAATAAAGAAGGAACGAATTGAGCGAAGAAATTTCTTTTCAATTTCTTCGCTCAATTCATTCCTTCTTTAAAAGATTTGTTTTTGTGAAACCGGAGAAACTATAAAATTGATGTTTTTCTAAATTATTCTTTACGAAATCAAATAAAAGATGGATATTCTAGAAAGCTTTTTTCTTGTATGAATCTAATACCCCTTGGGAACAATACATTTTCTTAAGAAAACAATAATCATTTGTTTACAACATTGTTTGTACTCGTTCCTGCAAATTCCATCAAACTGAATTTTGCTAATTAATGAATTCGGTTTCAAATGAAATACTGCAATTTATTGCATTACTTCGTTTCTAAAACTGTTTATATGTAGTCAAAAATATTGTTCTCAAAACACTCTATGTATGTGTAATAAACATAATTATTTAGTTTAGAATATGGTGATGGGTTAAGTCATTTAGTTTTATCATGAGTTTTGTATTTTTTTGACAGATTGTTGATTTACAATAATGAATAATTCGTTTACCAAGCAAAGATGAATGGTGGCTAGCGTTTTGTCTTATTTGGGACTCGTCAGCTAGATGTACCTGTATTCTAGAGTTGATGCTCACTCCAGGACTGAAACCCAGTGACGTCATTGAATGATACAAGTAAAAAATACCAAGTGCATTCTTACACTAAGTTTATAAAATTACTTACAATACTATTTCATCATTAAATAGTTTTTCAAACACAAACAGTTTTAACTATTTTTGGTTCCCAAATTCCACTTATTTTCACTTCAATTTGAGAAAAAGTTAACTTGCTGGATAAATATGATTTTTTTCAAAAAATTAACAAACTATGTACACTTAATGAGGATTACAAACATTTTGTCATTCGAATCATTTATTAGATAATTCAAAATATGACTAACATCTAACTAAATAAGCGAAATTTTGCCTATTAACCTATTTTCATTTCTAATCAAAATATGAAATAGAGCAAGAATGAATATCGGTACAGAATGATATGATTTCATATTATTCTGCACCGATATTTATTCTTGCTCTCTATAAGACAATAGAGAGAACTATGTGTAAAAAACAACTGTCAACCAACAAAAACGTCAACATTTTTAATACAAATATCAAGATAGTTCTATTGTATGAACCAGAAACTTGGGAATCTATGAAGTTACAAATGTTTATTAACAGTTGTCTATGCAAAATACTTCGAATCCGTTGACCGGACACTATTAGCAACAACAACCTACTGTGGGAGAGAACAAACCAGATCTCAGTGGAATAAGAAATCAAGAAGAAGCGCTGGAAGTAGATAGGATAAACAATGAGAAAAGCACCTAACTGTGTCACTAGACAAGCCCTCACATGGACTCCTCAAAGCCAAAGGAGGGGAGGAAGACCAAAGAACACACTATGCTGAGATATGAAGACAGACAATGAGAAGAATGAAGAACAATTGGCTAGAACTAGAGAAGAAAGCCCATTTTAGTATGGGTTGGAGAATGCTTGTCGGTGGCTTATGCTCCATTGGGAGTAACAGGCATAAGTCAGTAAGTATATATACAAAATATGAAAGAATAAATTTTGAAATGATATAATAATAAACAAATAAAATTGCAATAGTTGAAATCATGGGTCAGTTGAAGCTAGACCACCACCAGGGAAAACCTGCAAGCACTGAACGGCCGTTTCGTCCTAGTACGCGACTCCTTGGCAGTGCGCATCTACGATACCGCCCCCAGCAAGACGCGAACGCAGGAGATATAATCTCACTGAAGGCAATGGTGTACGGTGGTACAACTTCGTGTATTGGTTGAACTTATACATTAACACCATTAGATGCCGGCTCAGTGGTCTAATGGCTAATTGCCCAAGCACAAGTCTGGTAGGTCTTCGGTTTTAATCTCGCGTGGGATGGGATCGTAGATGCGCACTGATGAGGAGTCCCATACTAAGAAGAAACGGCCGTCCAGTGCTTCCAGGATTTTCATGATGGTCTAGCTTTAATTGACTCATGATTTCAACGAGTGAATTTCTAAAAATCTCCACAAAACCCCTTCTGAAAATAAACTTGCATTAGATAGAAAACCAAAATAATCACTACATCAAAGAACTTTACATTGTCATAACTTTACTATTATTTCTTTATTTATTCACTAGTTAATAACTAGTTAGGTTATATTTAATTTCTAGTTTATTTAATCCTATTGAAGTTTTACATCTATTTATATTTTGATTAGAACAACTTAATCCTCTCTTCCACCAAAAAACAAAACAGAAATCTGGCTTATATATGTATTCAAGTATTTCAGTTACTTTATAAAATATCTGCTTATCTAAAAAGAGAATAGAAGAGAATTAAAAGACTTTATTTTAACTAATCTATTAAAAACTGCCTTTGATAACTATATATATATATATATGAATCAAATATAATAACAATTTTAATCATAATACAGAAGGATTTATTTTAGTAAATAAAAGAAATTGAAGTTGCGGAGATTATTGAGTTTTTGATTAAGATTGTGAATTGATGCTAGAATACTACTGAAGATCTGGAAGCACTAAACAGCCATTTCGTATTAGTCTGGGATCCCTCGAAAGTCCAAATCCACGTTCCCACACACAGGTTTCGAACACATAAACTTCAGTTTCGCGTGTGAATACATAACCTCTAAACCACTGAGCCAGCATCAAATAGTGTTAATGTCTAACTTCATTTTATCCACAAAATAGTGTGATCATCTTCCATTGCACTAAGGTAGATACCTATTTCTACCTGATATGGATGAACTTCACTGGTCTCAGCTTCTCACTAGAACTCCGAGAATTCCCTCAAAATGCTAGTCACTAGTGAGCATATGTTAATTAATAGTATGGGATTGTGTAGTGTATTATATGATTTCTCGTATCCTATTTTCTATACAATGGCTTGATCTATTTAAATTTAATATCATTTCGGAATTCATCAGTTACAAATAATCATTGACACTGAGTGACATGAGTTTAAACGAAGTTCGATTTTTACTTTATTTTATAGATAATATCAGGATTATTTTTTTAAAATTCAGTACAGTATTCAGTGTTTCAACGTATTTAAAATACGTTTTCTCTTTTACACGAAAAATTTTCAAGTTATTTAAACATATCATTAAAAAAATATTTCTCTCTTATTCACTTAAGAAGCATTACTTTTAACCAGGTCTGTATGATACCGTTTTAATCAACCTATGTATACTTGATGAAGTGTTGTATACCATTTCAATAAATACCCAATGTCATGTACAAGTGAATAATCAATCCTCTGACGAATCGTTTCATAGCAGACCAGCTGTACAATCATTACACATTATTTCTCTGTGTGATAGTAACTCATTGATGACAATGGTGGATGTATCGCTTAATTTTGTTGATTAGTTGAAGTTAGATATTAACGCCGTTGGATGCTGGCTAAGTGGTCTAGTGGTTAAGCGTTCGCGCGTGAAACTTATAAGTCCTGAACTCGAATCTCGCAAGGCGGGTTGGTGGATGCGTACTATTGAGGAGTCCCACAATAGGACGAAACGGCCATCCAGTGCTTGCAGGTTTTCCATGGTGGTTTAGCTTCGATTGACTCATTATCTCAACTATCGATATATATATATATATATATATATATATATATATATATATATATATATATATATATATATAATTTTCTAATTAAAGTTGCGACTTTCAAAAGTAGAACAATTTAGAAGCCACCTATATGAATTTTATATATCATACGATATAAAAAATTATAGATATTTCTTTTTATAGGAAATATTATTTAATTATTCTTCATGAGCAACTAGTATTATGTCATGTGTGAAGCTATCTGAATAATTAAGTTTATTTTGACTAATAAAGATATTAGAATATTCGTCTATACATGAAATGACCCAGTTTGACCTTAAGAAGAATAATAATATATGCAAGCAGAGCAGATGATTACATCCTTACCTTGTTGATTAATACAACAATGATGTGTTTTTCACTTCATTTTATTTCTCTCTATTAAAAGGAATATGTAGTGTTATCATAAACATGATAATATTTAAGTGTTATTATATAGAAGTGCTACTTATTATAATTCATGACTTCATGAATATAGACTATCGTTTATATATTTATATCTGTATATATAATGCTTATACTTGTGTATAGATGTATATATGCTACAGAGATGTAATTAAGTTGTTATAGTATGTGAAGACTAATTATTTTATTAAATCAGGTCATTTCATACATATTATCATACTTCCTGTTTGATAATTATTTATCAGAATAATTCTATCAATTAAATTGTAAGAAAATAATTTCCTTAATATTTCTAAAATAATATTTTTTCTTTTTTTATGTAACACCTTTAAGTTAATTTAATTTTAATACTTGAATCCATGTGTCCATCAAACATAAAGCACTACTGTGAAAAACCTCGAAGCACTGGACGGCCGTTTGATCCTAGTATAGGACTATTCAGCAAAGCGCATCTACGATACCGCCTTGCGAGATTCGAACCCATGACATGGTAGTTTTGCAGGTGAGCGCTTCATCTCTTGACCACTGGATCGGCATCCAACGGCATTAATATCTAACTTCAACCAATCCACAAAATTACTGCACGTTCAACATTGTCTTCATCTCAAAACAGACCCAAATGAACTCCACTGGTCACAGTTTCTCACTAGAACTCCAGGAAACAACTCTTGGAGACAGTCACTAGTGAGCATATGATGATTATAATCAGAGAGGGATTTTGTGAATATCTCGCGAGGCGGGATCGTGGATGTGCACTGATAAGCAGTTGCATACTAGGACGAAATTGCCGTCCAGTGCTTTCAGATTTTTCATGGTAGTCTGGCTTCAATTGACTCATGAATTCAACTATTAGATTATTATAATACCCAAAAAATTCCTCTCTGATCATAACTTAATCTTGTTTAAAAGATTTTATATGACGCCGAATATAAAGAAGCAATTAAAAGTGAAAATTATATTTGAAATAATCTCAGTGATTGAAATTTAAAATAATTCCAATGTTTCGTCCAGCAAACTTATCTCTACTTCTTTAGGATAGTAATCAAAATCGTTAAAGAAATATTCAGCAAACAAGAACAGCCTTAATCAAAAGGATGGTGTTCAACTAGCGACTAATTGGCAAATATTCGTTTACAAGTAATCAGATCGTTTTGTTTATTCAACCTATTTATTCACTGGCATCGTTATTTTGACTGAAATTAATATGCGTTATTTTGACCAATACAATTATGTATGTAGTTGATCTTGACTTTAAATACACATCAATGATTTAGAATCAATATTCAGTCATTTATTTTCACATCGTGAACTTTTCACATGATTCGCAGTTAGTTGACTCATATTATCCGATTTACTAAAAATCAACATCCAATTATGATTGGATCTCATTTGATTGCTAAAACACTATATATTTTCCTTTGATAATTTTGATTTTGATTATCATCTTGAAGAAATCCAGACAAATTAACTGGATGAAACATTGGAATTATTTCAAATTTCAATCGCCGAGATTATTTCCAATATAATTTTCACATATTAGGCCAAACTATTTTTAATGATCAATCTATAGGATTTTGAAATATCTTTAAATGTTACTTGAAGTTGGAGTTACGTTTTTTAATACTTTGTGCTAACAAGACACTGAAACATAATAAAGTTATGGGCGAGACTCTAATGCATTGAACGAATCTTAAGCAACCTTGAGAAGTATTATCCAATCAGCAAACAGTGTAGAGTAAAAATATATTATACAAAACCAAGGAAATAAAGTGGATACACTTCTTATACGTGGTTCAAAAACTTGTCAAGGTTAGAAAGAGGTTCAGGGGTTCTAAAATCATAATGCTTGCAGTGGAGGAAATCATCCAAACGGCTACAGAATAGTCGGTCTCTGGAGCCATGATAAACTCTCAAAAACACTTTCAGCCTCGACCACATAGCTGCAATATTGTTTATGTGCACTGCGGTTGTTGAGTGCACAAAATACTACTTGTGGATAACGACACGATGCACATAATCAAGCCTATGTAACCATCTATACGCTCTCCAAACATCCGTATATATTGTAGTACTTGGCTGAAGCCAGTGTTACTGGTGCTTTTATTATTCAGTTCCCAATAATTGTCGTAATTTGCCTTAGTTAATTATATATGGGTTTCCATCACGAAATGACATCAACTATGATGCCAGAAATCTATTTTAGCCAAATGAATGAAAGGCTTTCACGTTAAAATCCGAGATCTATTATCTTATACCTGATTGATTCGTCCATAAATTATAGTCTCGCCGTTTTATTTTTTATAGCCGCTCAATTATCAGGTTTTGTACAAAATTCTCTGTGAACCGATCGTACGTCAGTACTAAGCACTGAAGTTGGAGTCGCAACCTTGAAATCCCTAGAGCTTTTCTGATTGGCTCGTTCATAAATTAGAGTCTCACCAAGTTGTGTTAGTCAATAAACCATGTAAACTATATAAACATTAACCTTAAAATCGAACATTTTTTTCTTAGTTTTAAGAGTGAAACCATCAATAAAATATTCATTTACAATTGATTAGCTCAAACAATTGTGCATAAAGTTCATTTGTACTAAATGGATAGAATAAGTAACAAATATTAAGCATTTTTTTCTTTCTAAAATAAGTAAAACTATAATAAAAATGTTTTTTTATGACATCTATGTACTACTGTTATACGTCAAATTCTAAAATATCAATGAAATATGCCGTTTTTTTGATAAATAAAACAATATTTTCTGAAAATAATAAATGAAACACTAATTTCTTCTCTTTCACAACTGGGAAAGATTCATTGACACTTTAAAAAACTATCCAAACGATATAATTGTCATATACATAGATAATTAATTACAATGATTTTGATGGAGTTTTATCGTCTGAGCTGGATGGTTTGGCCATAGAGTTTTTATCGTTCTTCTGAACGACATCATCAGCACAAACTTCAGATAGAAGTGAAGTGTTCGAATTTCTCCATATGCGTTTAACAGTTTGTTCTGTACACCTCGATGATGACTGGTTCTTATTGACCTTAAATTTGTCATTGTTTACTTCTTTGTTTTGGTTGTATCTCCCATCGGTTTGATTTTTGTTCTTATATTTGTGCATGATTTTCTTGATTGGCTGATAAATTGGATAGATTTCAGTGTGCTTGTTGATTGCTGATTGACTTGAGTGCCAAGCTTCTAAAAATTCTCTGATGTTTTCGGAATTTCCTCTGTCCAAGATTTTTATATTTTTCCAATCGAATGAGTGTGTTCATCCACACGAGCTATAAATCTCCACAATCTCAATTATAATGAATATTTATTATTATAGTGGATGCGCAGTGCTGAGGAGTCCGATGCTAGGACGAAACGGCCGTCCAGTGTTTCCAGGTTTTCCATAGTGGTCTAGCTTCAATTAACTCATGATTTCAATCTGTGAAATTTCTAAAAACCTCCACAAACCCGTTCTGATATTTCAGTCAGTCAGTAACAACGTAGAACTTCGTACGTACGTACATCAGTTCGAGTTGCCACAACACATTAGCACAGAGATGCAGTGGTCGATTCAAATCCCGTAGTCGTAGAGGTAATAAGAGTATAAGCAGTAATCGGAAAGATTAGTGTTTGGAGATTTTACTTAAAGAGTATAATACAATGAAATAAACTTCGGAAGAGAAAAAAAGAGACAAGAAGGAATCAAAAGATCAAAATTTGGGAGAACACAAAGAGCGGATGCACCTGCGCCATTGCAAACGATTTTGAGCCATGTCATTCAAGGTCTCTAACCATCGGTTGCCATCATCTCGCGGTCCCCAACCAGGTAGTCTACACCTACCGACATGACTCAGACCACTTGTCAGTGACTTCATGGACTTGTGCCATGTTTTGGTCTGGCCGCCCCTAGCTTTCTTCCTACCTACTCCTATACCACCAAACGTCGCACGTCGAGGCAATCGGTCGTTGGGCATGCGTAACACGTGTCCCAGCCATCTGATATTTATTGTTTTAACATCACTATAAAGTTGGATATCATTTAATCATTTAAACATTAAAACATTTATTTCCCAGGTTATTTTTTTTCACTCATTATTACATATTTTTTTTACGATATTCTAGAAAAAAATCACGTTACGTATTATTCTCTTTATCTGTAATAATGTTATTGATCCGTTGGTTGATATTGTTGGTCATTATCAATCTTTTCATATTCAAATCTCTTATTAGAATTTATCTAATCACTGAAACATCCTCATTATATTAAAATACAATAAATATGAATTAAGAATATTCTTCTCAATAGTTTCTCATCAGGTTCCAAATTAAGAATACGTAAAATTGACAAGATTTGAGATAGAGTAAATCATTGAAAATTGTAATATATGAATGAAGAATTGTTGTTTGTTATATAAAATTAAATCCAATAGTTAATATCAGAACTCAAAGCTTTGTATCTAAAAGAAATATGTTCAGCCACTCCTTTTACCATGGTTAACCAGTTAATAATCAATTTTATAATATGGCGATGTAATTTGATTAATGATCGTTTTTATGTCCCAAACTTATTATTATTATACTTGCTAACCTTTTTCTTAAAGAAATTTATTCAGCATCCAACCTCATCTACTATATCTGATCTAATTCATCTTATTCAACATATTCTGTAATTTCTGATTTGTGATTACATTATTCTCTCTCTCCCACTGTATGTTGACCATATTTAATCTGATCATCATCTAATCATTATAATTGATGTTTACTATTACAATATTTAAAAAAAAAAGAGAATTAAATGTTGTCAAGACAATGAACTTACAACAGTTGAAGAAAAATCAATTTTTTTTACTTTACAAGGAATTCTAGCTGTATTATTTATAATTGAAGTGATATATACAGATTGATTTGGATCAAAATATGGTTCATTTATATCATTTTTATTAGATAATAATGAAGATGATAATTTTTTTGTTATAATAGACTGTGAATTATGAGATTGTTTTAAATGATTTGTAATTATATTTGATAATGAATTTGTTTGCAATGATAAATTAGATTTATATGTACTAATATATGAATTAGAATGTTTTTGTTTTTCTATTTGTTTATTATATAAATGATCAGTTTCAATTATGTAATCATTAGATTTTGTTGTAAATAATTGTTTATTACTTATATTCATGTGATCATTCATTGTTTTTATAGAACGTTTTCTATTATTCATTATATTTAATGTAATTGGAATAGATTTATTACGAACAGGTTTATTATTATTAAATTCTATTAAATATTGTTTTTCTCTTAGATATGAATTATTGAATTGTTTTTCAGATAATATAAATAGCATAAAACATGTTATGATTGTTAGAATATAAAGATTTACACCCGTTGCACAGATCGCCATCCATATACAATTATTCGAAGAAATAATGTCATGAAGAATTGATTGAAGAATACAACCGTCTATAGATAGGTAAAATAATTTTAAAAATAAACGTTTTTAAAGAAATGCATTGGGAAAAAAATTATTATTAATAATAATTCAAATGATTTTATTGTACCAGTGGGGTGTTTTCTAGTTTACATAGGAAAAATGTCAGCCAAAAACTTACAGTTTGAAATCACTTTTTTCTCAAATATCTGATTTGAATCATACCTGTTATTTTCTATTATAATCAAATCTTCTATGATCAATTCATAGCTCCATTTTAACGCATTTAATTCGGACGGGACATACAGCCAACATGAAGCAATCATTCGCACTAATATATTGTGTTAACAGCAGTCTACCCAATTCCATCAGACTGAGAATCTTGCATACGGCCGGAGGAATTGCTATTCGGATCAAAATGTCAGAACTTTGCATCCAAAAAAATATGTCCAGCCACTCCTTTTACCCTCGCCATCTTCGGGGCCAAATGGTTAATAATTTATTTTGACCATTTATCTCACAATTTCATCTCGCTTATAAACTGATTTCAGTTAATACTTCATATTATTCAACCCCAACATTAACGATTTGATTTGATTTTATATGACAAACAACAATTCTTGATTCATATATTACAATTTTGAAGGATGTACTCTGTCTTGAATCTGGCCAGTTTAATGGATTATTAATTTGGATATGAGATAATTGTTGAACCTGATGAGATTATTATTGAAAAGAATATTCTTCATTCGTATAAATATGTTTAATAAAAGTATTAATAATAATGATAATTCGAATGATGTAATTGTACCAGTGGTCTGTTTTCTAGTTTGGAGAGGAAAAATGTCAGCCAATATGGGATCTATGGATGGACTCATCACGACATCATCTATTTGTCTATAGATTTCATCAATGAATTTGAAATGTACATTCATAGTACATTTTAGTAGTAATTCCTCGTTTATAATGAGAACTGTTCAGTGAATATTAATTCATTAAATAGTTATCATCATTATGACAATTGAATGTAAGTAAATTAGCGGTAACTATAAAAAAATTATTTTATATTTAAGTAAAATGTCTGGACTTTAACTAACAGATAGATTTGTAGAATGATATGAAAAGTTCTGGCGAAAAAAACGGTATACTGATTTATATCTATCCTTTTTAATATGTCAATCCAATCATACTTGATGGAGAAACTATGGAAGATGTGGAATCTTTTGCGTACCTAGGGAGCATCATTATTTAACAAGGAGGATCGGAGACAGACGTAACGGCAAAGATTGGCAAAGCAAGTAGAGTATTTTTACAATTGAAGAATATATGAAACTCAAAACAGTTATCTGTCAATCAATATCAAAGTCACAGTCTTCAATACGAACATCAAGACAGTTTTACTGTACGGAGCTGAAATTTGAAGAACTACTACAACTATCATCAAGAGGGTACAAGTATTTATAAACAGTTGTTTATGCAAGATACTCAACATCTATTGGCCTGATACCATCAACAACAGCCAGCTTCCAGCTGAGGAGGAAATTAGGAAAAGACGATGGAAGTGCATAAAACATGTATTACGGAAATCACCAGACAATCGCTATCTTGGAATCCTGAAGAGAGATGGCAAAGAGGAAGACCTAGGGACAGATTACGTCGGGCAAGAAAAGCAGCCATGAAAAGTATGACTACCGGCTGGAAAGAGCTGGAAAGCATTGCCCAGAACAGGGTCAGATGGAGAGTGCTGGTGAGTGGCCTATGCTACTCCACGAAGAGTAACAGGAGTAAGTAAATAATTTCTTAATATGTAAACAGCTACTGGTCTTTTTTGCCATCTGCATTAATTCCATTGATCTATGACTTTCATTTGGGTTTTTATAGATTAATTAATTGTCAGTTATATAAAAGATTAGACAATTGTGTGTAAAACATAAAAGAATCATTGCAAATGATTAGTTCAACTCTACGGTTACATTAAATATTTGTAAAGACTCAACAACAATGTACAATTTAATTTTTACATATCCTTTTGTCGGAATAATTATATGTATATATATGGATGATCTCGAAAGACTTTTTGTAATGTTTACATGAAGTCATATTAACTTTAACTCTATAAAACTGAGGATTTTGTGTCATTATTTTATCTTCCTATTAGAATTCATTGAAATTTGTTTTCTCATTGCTTTAAATTTTAATTCGTCCTACACACAATCTGTTTCAACATGTGTATTATACAATTAAACTAATGTTCAGATTATGTTGTAATCTACAAATGTCATCTTTGTAAAGTATAACAATCTTTGTTATGCATGTTCCATTCAGGAAGTATAACACTTTGTTTCGCATAATAGTGATTCAGTTAACTCCAAATATATTAATTCCTTATAAAAGACATGTTTTTCAATCATATTTTGATTGTTTGAGTAACATCACTAAACAAATATATTCGCTTTTTCTCTTAACAATTTAGATTTATAACATAAATCCTTACTTGATGGATTGAATCAAAATTATTTTCGTAGTTCGTTGCCTGACCAACCTTTCAATAGAAAATCACTAGCAAAAATCTAATGAAAATTATGCTTATCGTTCGAAGTAAAGACCGGTGTCAGGCAAGGTTGCTTACTCTCACCATTTTTCTTTCTCTTGGTGATCGACTGGATTGTAAATACGTCAACATCTGGAGGGAAGCATGAAACAGAGTACACAACTAGAACGCAGCTGGAAGATATAGACTTCGCAGATGATCTGGCCCTCCTATCGCACACACAACAACAAATGAAGGAGAAGACGACCAGTGTAGCAGCACCCTCAGCAGCTGTCGGTCTCAATTTACACAAATGGAAAAACAAGATTCTCCGATACAACACAGCATGCAACAATCGAATCACACTTGACGCAGAAGCTTTGGAGGACGTAACAACACTTACATATCTGAGCAGTATCATTGATGAACACGGCAGCATATTTACAACTGAAGAACATCTGGAACTCAAAGCAACTGTCAACCAACACCAAGATCAGGATTTCCAATACAAATGTCAAAACGTTTCTACTGTATGGGGCAGAAACCTGGAGAACTACGAAAGCCATCATCCAGAAGATACAGGTGTTTATGAACAGTTGTCTATGCAAAATACTTCGGATCCGTTGACCAGACACTATTAGGAACAACAACCTACTGTGGGAGAGAACAAACGAGATCTCAGTGGAATAAGAAATCAGGAAGAAGCTCTGGAAGTAGATAGGACAGACAATGAGAAAAGCACCCAACTTTGTCACAAGGCAAGCTCTCACTTGGAATCCTCAAGGCCAAAAAAGAAGAGGATGACCAAAGAACACATCATGCCGAGAAATAGAGAGAGACATGAGAAGAATAAAGAACAATTGGATAGAATTAGAAAAGAAAGCCCATTTTAGTGTGCGTTGTAGAATATTGATCGGTGGCATAAGCTCCATTGGGAGTAACAGGCATAATTACGCAAGAAAGTAATCTGATCTTATATTATCATATCTATACATGTGCATATATATATAGCCAAATATCCTTTGTATTTCATATTAGCCTATTTAATAAATATATATTCAGAATCTTTATTGAGATATATTGAAAAGATAATGTCAACGTCCTTTTTTACTAATGAGAATACAATCGTTTGTTTGTTTGTTTTTTTATCAAGAAAAAACTATTATTGATAAAAACTAAGTATTTTGCCACGTACGTAAATTCTATTTTGTCGAATAGTTGAAGCATATCAGAAACTTTATCATGTTCTATATTATTCAAGTAGAAAAGTGTCAAAATGAAAAATTGTAAAAAAAACAAGGATTGTTTCGCATGATTTATACAACTAATTCACTTTCAGATTTAATTTATAAAAATTAGATAAGAATACATTGGATAATTCACAATGTATAGAAATGTAGATAAGAAATATATCTAATAGTTATTATGTATTAGTAAAGCAAGAAAGCAGACAAACATACAATCTGATAGTAGTTTTATAGTCAAATAAGAACCAATGTTAAATTATATCATGAATTGTCAGAAAGAAACAATGAATTGAAATGAAGAGAAATATAATTTCAATAGTTGGGATCATTAGTCAATTGAAATTAAACTACCATGGAGAATCTGAAAGCGCTGGGCGAACGTTTCGTTATAGTATAGGACTCCTCAGCATTGAGCATCCACGATCCCACAAAGCGAGATTCCAGATTTTCCATGATGTTCTAGCTTTAACTGACTCATAAATTCATCTACTAAATTAATTTAATTTAGTTGGAGATATCTACAACATAAAAGTTATCTCCGAAAGTAAGCATAAAATATAAACTTTACTATATCAGTTTTAATAATTGAAATCACGAGTCAATTGGAGCTAGACCACCATGGAAAACCTGAAAGCACTAGACGACCGTTTCTTCCTACTATAGGACTCTTCAGGAGTGTGCAAATTGTAATAAAATTATAGCATTGAGGAATAATTCGATAATAATGTTGTATTTATAATGATTATGTGACAGTTACTTCCATGAATATAACTCACTAATAGTATAGTTTGAAGAAGAAAAACAACGACGACGACAACAACAGTATATAATCAGAAAAAAGTTTAACTATTGAAATATTTATTCCTGTATGTAACGTTGATGAAGATACTTCTATATAGTTGAAGTATTTGATATAATGTCAAGTAAATAATACTTTGCAAGTTTTATTCTGCTAATTATTTTTAATTTTAATGTGTATTATCTTCAAATAATAGAAATTTCTGGAAATCTTGATTTGTATCGCTCTCTTAACAAAATGTTTTACATCTGCCCAATTTTCGACAATTTGCGATAAAAACTAAAATCTTCTGACATTTCGTGACTTAGTGTAAGCCACTTCTTCAGAGCATAAATAGACAAATCAAAATTAATCCAAGTTTAAATAGTACAACGGAACAACAAGAATATTATTGTTGTTCCGTTGAACTATTTAAATTTGGATTAATTTTGATTTGTTTATTTATGCTCTGAAGAA